CGACAAACTCACGAAAAAAATAAAAAAAAAAGAACAAAGAAATTCAAACAAAAATTCGAATAAAACAAAGAGAAATTCGACCCCTCAACAAAATGTAATAACCGAAAAAAAAAAAGAAAAAAAGATAGATAAACAATAACCTTGATCGGACACTCTTCAATGAAACCCTCTCAATGAAAGGACCAATGATGAGTGATCAGAGTGTTGATCCCGGTTGTTGTTTATTTCGGTTGTGTGTAATCGCGCACTCGGGCCTTCGACTACACACGATAGATGTGACTAACAGACGCACTATGGCCTTCTCTTAGACATAGTGACTTCAAGACGCACTAATGGCCTTCTCTCCGACACTTGTATGTAAACACGCACTAACGGCCTTTCTTAACACACGTTAGAACACCAAATTCCCCTTTTCTATTCACTCATCAATTCTCAACCTCATGTTCAATAATGAAGAGGTACATGGGTATTTATAGATGCATAAATTAAATCTAAGCCTAATAGATCTAGATCTCCTAATTCTATAATGAAAAGAAACATGGTAATAAAATCCTAATATTACTATAACTACTAATTGTTTGACTTGCACTCCACGAATTTCTAGAAGCTTAAGTCTTGCGCAAATCCCCTACGGTCGCCTTTGTACGTGCGCCGCCCGCTGCTTTCCTACTCCTTGGCGCGCGAGGCATCGTGCGCCTTGCCGCTGTTGCACGCGCGCGCCCTAGCGTGTGCCCCATTCGCGCCGCCTTTACCTGCGCGTGCGTCTCCTCGCATTGCGTCGCCTAATCCTGCCCCGCCTAGGTCTCCTGGCGTTGGCCTCCCACGCGCACGCTTATCGCTCCCGTCAACTGTTCTCACCCCGATTGGCGCGTCCTCGCCCATCGCGCGCTTGTTGCGCACGCCGCCTGCCACCGTCCTGTTCGCGCCGTGTTCTCGCGCCCCGTGCGTTGCACCCAACACTCCTACTCCTATCAGGTCGCGATCATCGCCCAAGTCACCCAACACTGGTCGCGTGCTGCTAACCTTCGTTGCCGGCTCATCTGCTGCGCATCCGCGCACGCTCGGCGCTGCCCGTGTATCCTGCTCCATCCAACCGCGCGCATCATGGGCCGATGCGCGCCATTCACTCATTAGCCGATCACCGTCGTCTTCTTTGTTGTCGTTTGTCTCCATCGGCTCGGGCCATGGTTCCCATCCTTCCAACCCACTACAATCTCCAGCTCATCATATCCAACCATCCTCTACCCTTTGCTTATCTCTCCTTCGAGCCTCCATCTTCCAATCTCGTCTTTTTTCTCGCACAAGGCTTGCACTAACACTTCCCTTCCTTAGCCTTTACATTGCGTTTCCTTCGAGCTTGCTTGGCCTTGTACTTCCTAGATTTGACCTTTGACTTCGGACCACATCCTTTTGGCAAATCTCTTACACAAGAAGGTCGATATATTGGACTTGATGGCTCCTCTAGCATGTTTTCCAACCAGATGTTGAGATCGTCGCCACCCTCATCCTCCGACTCGCCTGGGTTGATGACCACTTTCGTATCACCCGCGCCCGCAGCACTCCCACCGCTAATCCTAGCATTGTCTGATTTTTTTTAGTCGTTTCTGAAATATAAAGGTTGAACCGATACTCCATGGAATTAGACATGAATTATAGTTTATTTTAAAAATAGTAATTGATGAATTTGAGTGAGATATGATTTTATATAGATTTATTGAGTAAAATGGTTAAAAAATTGTATTATATTGGTTGTTGATCCAAAAATTATGATTCCAACTATTTAGATCTTCTAAAATCGGCTTGAGGCTTATGTTAAATGTAGTGAATTTTGAAGTTCGTTCGATATGCGAACCGGATTTATGAATTTCGACCAATAATTTTCAATTTTTGTTAACTTTTAGGGGCTGAATATTGTTGTCGTATTTTTAACAAAAATCACATATATGCTGAAGTTGTTGTGGTTAAAATTTCAAAATTTTTTAAGGCCGTTTAATATAGATTAAAATTCGGTATATTAGCCTTATTTTGACATAATTTTAAAAATTGTTCTGGTTGGGATTTAGCTAAATTTTTAGGATGTAAATTCCTTATAAATCATATTGAACTTAGGGTTTAACACTCGGCTCAAACTGGATAGGTTTACCCGGTGAAATAAAAAACTCTTGTCTGACTTTTTTGGAACCGAGTAATTTTTAGATCTGAGCGAAATCACCTGAACCCTAGTACCATTTAATGGCTTTAGACGTCATAGGGTTATAAATGAGTCCTTGGGTGGTTGGGATGTGGTCAATCGGCCTGTGAGTCACCGACGGGACCATAACCGAGCCTAAGAAGTCTATCTAGGTCGAGTGCCTCGAAGCGAGCATAATTAACCAATCGACGTGCAATAGCACGTACTCTCGACGCATATCGACGTCTTGCTCACGTTTCCCACTCTCATCTGATTGTTTGAGCAGAACCATCGAGTGCGGGGCCGTGCACAGAGTCCGACCGAGCCTCGCCCCTGCACTCTGCCCAACGCCCGTGCGTCTGCTCAACCTACCATCAACGCGTTGTTTTTTTTAGCCGTGGCCCAAACACGCCCCTACATCAGTTTTCGTGGCACCATTTAAATCCCGTGCATCGGCAAAGACGTGTCAGCCGTGTTCGTGCGTGCCCATAAGTTACTATGGTGAACCCGGACCACGGTTAAGCCGAGCTGTACATAGTCAAGCGGGTAACTTGTCGGTTCTGAGTGAGCTGCCGGTCCAGTTTAGTCAAACGAGTCCAGGTAGTTCGAACGGTTTGAAAAGAACCCAGTTCACCCGAATCATTCCGTGCAGCCTAGATTATTCAGGAGTACAATTCAGAATATCGGTTTGAGCATGAACCGAGATGCAGTATTTCTTAAAACCCAGCCAGATTAGAATCCAGTCATAATATAGTTCTAGACTTTGAAATAATTTCAAGAATCTAGTATGCCTCAAAGACAATAAATTTTCAAAATCAACTCGTAAATTCCTAAAATGAGTTTCAAATGATTTTAAAACCGAGTGAGCAAACCTAGTAAGTTCAAATAATAAAAAAAAAATTGAATTTTCACGTTGAGCCTAGTACTTAGAATATTTCGCTCAAATATTTTGTAGGTTGAGGAGAATCGAGTCTCCACCTACTACACCGATAGTACAATATTTGCATTCGCCAACATCCAAGTGGGGACCTTGTACTGTGTATCTTAGCTTTTAATTGTTTATACTGTCTGAGGTATGTGTGTAATTAGATTGATGGACCGATACAGAGGAGTGATCCCATCTTGTTTAAGAACTCTATTTATGACATTGATGTATGGGCATGATGCCTAGCCTAAGTCCAGACTTGGATGTGTGAAGCCCAATGCTCAGTCTAAGTCTCGCGTCTAGATGTGTGGGCCCGATGCCCAGCCTGAATTTATGTGCGACGGGAACCTCAGAGTGTGCACATGAGTACCATATTATTGATAATCTCATAGTTAGCCGATTTATTTATATATATGTCAATCTCATGATTTTGTTAATAAATGTGATGAATATTTAGTTCCGGTTCTTGCAGAGCACGTGAATTGTTTATGCTCACGCCCCACTAACCATTTTTCAGGTGACGGAGTCCCACGTGGCGCGTGAGCCGGATGTGGTGATGGTCATAAGCGAGGATATTTTTGTTATGACATATCATGTATTATTTGAACATGTTTCGATTATTATGTTTTATTTGTTGTCTTCTTGTGTACTTTGAACTTGTACTTGCTTCCATATTGAGAAGAGTATTTCAGAATTCAGAATTTCAGCTTGTGCATGCCTAATTCCATTATCTTTCATGGCGCCTATTAGAGTAATAGATTTTACTTGGTTGCATGCATAGTAGTAAACAAGAAAAGAGAAAGAGATCAAATTTAAGTTGAGCAATATCCCGCAGATTAAAGTTATTGTATTTTTGCAATAGTTTATATGAGTTTTCGAAAATTAAACCACCGTTTTTCAAATACAACATGAAAAATTTACTTTGATTTTAGTATGTTTAGGCGGGGTGTTACATATTCAGTAAGAATGATTTTTTCATGGATCCCATGTTCCAGAGCCTCCGAACTACCTCTCTGCCCTATCAAAGACCACCTCCCGCCTCAAGGACTGTGTCCTCGGCCACCCCTCTGTTAGTGTTATATACTGAAAGCTTGACTTTGGATGATATTACACTTTTACCCTTTATGAATGAGAAGCATGTTACATTAAACTAGTTCTACGTTCTGTTGTTTTGCATTAGATAGTGTGGGTCATCATCGAGCAAACCGAAGATCATGCTATCAATTACTCGCGAAACAAGAATAAGTGGTTCACAACCCAGATGGACATGAACACCCCATCGCGAACGGTTGTAGTGTCAACTGTACAATTTGTCTTGGGTGATTAGTTGCACTAGTACATTTATGTATTGAACAGGATCCCGGAGAGGAGCAGTTCGTTTTATACTGATCGTCGTAAACGAACTAGGCCTCGGTTAATTACTGCGTACTCTTAACCCGTAAGATATTAAACAGACATATATGTGTAGTATTTATTATTTTGATTCACATGGGTGAGGCTTATTGAACTGGGCCAATAGACCCAAAGTCTTGGGTAATATTGTTACATGTAGGATGTGTTGTTAGGATATTTACGGTCCCCATGTGCGTTAGTTAATGATGTCCCCGGAGTGAGTTCATGAAGGATTATTATGCTAAACCCTGCAGGTGGATTAAATTCCGGCATAGTAATAATGTGATGAACGAGCGCTAGCTTCAGTGAACTAATAATAAATTAATTAATTCTTGATTGGCAGTAATCGAATTAAAACCTCTGAGGGCTCTTGGGGAGGAGATTCCATGCTGCATCTCATTCCTAGAACTATATCTGATGACATGAACCAAGACCTCCTGAAGCCTATTGACTCAGAGGAAATTAAATCAGCTCTATTTAGTCTGCAGCCTTACAATTCCCCTGGGGAAGATGGTATGACCCCATTCTTTTATCAGCACTTGTGGAATATTATTCACATTGACTTTATTGCTGCCATTAGTAGTTTCTTTGACTCTGGTGCTATCCTTCAATACTGGAATCACACCCTTGTCACTCATGTGCCTAAATGTAGTATCCCTGACTCTATAACCCATTTCAGACCTATATCTTTGTGTACTGTGGTCTATAAAACTCTTTCTAAAATTCTGGCTTTGAGATTGAAGAATTTTTTAGACTCTTGCATCAGTGTCTGTCAATCTGCTTTCATTCAGGGAAGACATCTTTTAGATAATGTTATTCTTGGTCAAGAAGCTTTCCACTTCCTTAACAGACATAGATCAGGGGGGAATTGTTTTATGGCTTTGAAACTAGATCTCATGAAGGCTTTTGACAGGGTGGAATGGGTCTGTTTGCATAAAGTAATGATTCAGATGGGTTTTAGTCATGAATTTGTGAAATTACTGATGGTCTGTGTGTCCACATCCTCTCTCTCTTTCTGTATTAATGGAACTCTCAGTGGAGTTGTCTGCCCTTCAAGGGGCATAAGACCGGGGGACCCTCTGTCCCCCTATCTTTTTATAATTGTATTTGAACTCCTCTCTGCACTTTTATCTGATGTTGTAAATAAGAATGATCTGGTGGGTCTTAAATTGTCCAAAAATGGTCCAGCTATATCCCACCTCCTCTTTGCAGACGATGCTATATTCTTTTGTAAGGCAGAGGTCAGGCAAGCTCGAGTCCTATTGAATCTTCTAGAAAGATACAGGCTTTTCTCAGGGCAGAGGGTTAATATGCAGAAATCTTCATTATTTTTTAGTAAAAACTCTCCTATTACTCTCCAAAATTTGATTTTCTCAGAAATGCAAGGCATCCAGCTTCTCTCTTCAACAAGGTACCTTGGTCTACCTCTTGGCATTGGAAAATAAAAAAAAAAACCTTCTCTTATGTGCTGGACTCTGTGAAAGCTACACTCGAGAGTTGGAAAAACAAAATGCTATCTTCAGCTGGTAAGGAGGTCCTCATCAAAGCTGTTCTTAATGCTCTTCCAGTCTTTACAATGTCCTGCTTCAAGTTACCTGTCTCCATCTGCAAAGCCATTTCCAGTATCAGTGCAAAGTTTTGGTGGAGTAAAGGTGAATCTCAGGAGCAAGGTATACACTGGAGAGCTAAGAAATTCCTTACCTTGCCCAAATCTGAGGGTGGCATTGGCTTTAAAGAGGTTAGCTTGTTCAATGTTGCACTTATTTGCAAGCAGTTATGGAGAATTACCTCAGAGCCTGATCTCTTGGGAGTTCTGAAAGACAGGTACTTTCCACATTGTTCCATCCTTGAGGTGTCTAAAACCAAAAATGGGTCTTGGCTG